TGTTCTAGGAGGCAAAGCCCATAAACAAGTTCCGTGGAATCTGGGAGGATTGTGTGTTAGTTTGTTTTGTGTGTGGTTTTCTAACAACAGTTCTCATCATCGACACCGAGGAGCAATCTCCTGGACAAGCAAAAGACAAAGCATGGTAGCTTTATCCTCCACGGAGTCAGAGTATATTGGATTGAGCAATGCTGGACAACACCTTGCATGGATTCGGACATTTTTTGAAGAAATCAGACATGCTCACAATGGACCTACAACATTGCACTGTGACAATCAAGCAGCTATCATTCTTACACGAGATCCACAGTTCCGTGCTCGCACAAAACACATTCAACGGAAATATCATTTTATCCGAGATGACTTAGTATCAAAGGGAGAGGCAGTAATCAGATACGTTCCTACAGGAGATATGGTTGCAGACATTCTCACTAAACCCCTCACTCATAAAAAACACTGGAAATTCTCTAAAGCTATGGGACTACGGTTGCACTCGAGTGAGAGTGACAAAACCGGATAAACCCGGTCTCTGCCAAAGCAGCCATTGTTCTCCATGGAGCATAGCCACCACTCCATGGAGTAACCATTGTTCTCCTAGGAGCACAATTGAGCTCCTAGGAGTCATTGTACTGTAGCAAGTAGTACCTCCGACTATAAGTAGTAGGGGGTTTAGTATAGGAATACCTCAGTTGTTTCTATAGCTTCTCGGGCAGCGGCTGAGGTATGTTACATTACATTTATTAGAGATCACCTTAAACTAACATCTATTGTAGTTTCACTTAGGTAAATAATAAAGTCGTTTTTATAGCCTCTCAGGCAGCGGCTGAGTTTCACTTAGTTTTATTACAGGGGTATGTCTTTATTCTATTCACTTCCTGGATCTCCTTAAAGAAGCCATTGTCTCAGGTCAAAGAGAGACTGGGATTGTCCTATCACAACATTAGAGGGCTACACAAGATAGTTGACTCTGGTATTCCATCCAGAGCTGATTGGACGTCAAAAACCATTGCATTCCCAGATGCCCCTGATGACAAGCATCTAATTCATTACTGTGATGTTCTTTCTGCCATTTGTAGCCTTTTTAGCAACCCAGCCCATGCAAAACACATCATCTACAAACCTAAGAAGATATTCAGTAATGCACAGAAAGAGAATAGAATTTACAATAAAATGTGGACTGGAAAGTGGTGGCATGCAATCCAGGTCAGTATTACGCTCAGTATTACACTGGATATTAATTTTGTTTGAATGTTGACTCTTATGTGTGCAGACACGTGTACCTAAGGAAGCAGCTCTTTCACCAGTCATAATTGCTACAGACAAAACACAATTAACGCAGTTCTCAGATTCCAAATCTGCCTATTCTGTGTATTTAACTTTTGGCAATATTCCACATGTAATACAATGGAGGCCAAGCCAGCATGCCTGCATCTTAATTGGCTACTTGTCTGTAAGCAAAATCATAGGCATGCAACTCACTTCAAGAAAAAAATCATCCAGAGTGCAGAGACTATTTCATGAGTTGATGAGGATTATTTTGAACCCATCAAAAAGAGCTGGGAGGGATAGAATAGAGGTGGTAGGAGGAGATGGAGCAGTGAGAAGAGTATACCCTATGCTAGCCTGCTATGTGGCCAATTATCCAGAGCAGTGTCTGGTGACGTGTTCAAAATATGGTACCTGCCCCAAATGCAAACGACCTCCAGAAGAGCTTTCAGCCTCTACTGCCGGAGAGCCACGTACCAATCAATGGACAGAGTCAGTAATCAACAAGGCTAAGGAAGATACACATTTATTCCGTCAGTGTCAAGAGAGGTGCAAGGAGCAACTAGTATCTGGATCTGTCTACAAGCTTTTTTGGACTGGGTTTCCTCACTGTAACATCCATATTGCAATCACTCCTGATGTCCTCCACCAGTTATACCAGGGCGTTTTCAAGCACATGATGCATTGGTGCCAGAAACTACTAGATCCTAAGGAACTTGATGCACACATCAGAGCACTTCCTCCCTGCTTTGGTGTTCGTTATTTCAAGAATGGCTTTTTTGCTCTTGATCAAATAGGGGGGAAGGAACGGAAAGATATGGCAAAGATACTATTTGGATGCCTTATTGGCAAACTTCCATGTCATGCTATCATCACCTATTAATCACTTTTAGACTTTATTCAGATAGCACAATACCCAATGCATGATGATACCACCTTGCCCAATCTCTCAATATTTTTCACCAACACAAAGATATCCTTATTCGTCTGGGAGTCAGGGACCATTTTAACATACCTAAATTTTATTCCCTCTTACACTACCAGGAGTTTATCACATGGCTTGGCACCACCGACAACTACAATACGGAGATGTTTGAAAGATTTTATATAGACTTTGCTAAAGATAGAAGGAGGGCCTCCAATAAGAGGAATGAAGCTCCTCAAATGATCACCTGGCTGCTGAAAGTTATCTTAAAATGAGCATGGAAAAAGACAATGAAGATGTTCTCCTTTGTCCTAAGTCTCAGGATCATCATATCATTATTGCAAAGAATCCAAGCAAATCCCAACAATCACTTATATCTATCATGAAAAACACTCCTGCCCAGGCTTTGAGGATGTACTCAAAATCTATCTTAATTCAAAATTACAGCAGCCCTTCCAGAGCACAAACAAGATCTTATCCTCTTCCATTTCAAAACCTTGATGTTTTCCACTCATTCAAATTCTCCTTTGAGACTCTTGGAAATAATGTGGACTTGTTTGATGACCAAATGGATGCTTTAAAGGCAAAACCCTCAAGTGTTGGTGGACAGCATCCTAGGTTTGATACTATTATAGTGATGAACTCCAATGACTGTGAATCAACAGGTTTGACAGGTAAGTTCTATAATATAAAGCTCTATCTACTATCTGTTTAAAAGTTGTACCAGGAACAAAAATTGGATGTCTCAGAGTGATCTTCAAGTTACCTACAACTTTATATGGCACACATAGTGCCCCTTCTAACTGGCCCAAAGATCATTTGGCTTATGTTAAATGGTTTAATTGTCTAAGGCCAACAGCTGAAGACAACCATATGATGTACTCTGTCACCAACCCTGGGCCTAATGCTTCTGGCTACCTGCCTGGTGATATTATACCCCTTTCTGCAATTAGACAGGTTTGTCATTTGATTCCAGTTTTTGGGGGAAATAAAGATACTTGTCCACTCAATTGGACTCACAGTAATGTTTTGGATGTTTGTACAAAATTTCATCTCAACAATTTTAGTAGTAAATACGCTTATCAGACACTATGGTAAATTCAAATTATAAATATTATTGTTTTTTTTTATAGCTAAATCTTGTGCTATAAAGGCTATAATTGCATTGATAGGGCTATAGTTAATATAACAATATTTGTATAGGGCTATAATTGCATTTATAGGGCTATGGTTGCTATGAAAGCATCCATATATACATGTGGTGGCTATATAGCGCTACATAGCCAAAGAGTTTTTCCTGATGTTGTTTGATCACATCATATTTGTTAGTCAGATCATAATATCCTTTGATCACACAATGTGCCAACTTGCCCTGGGAAACATAATGATGTCAATCATCTCAATGACCAAGTATGACCACCTACAATCTGTGTAGAGTAAGAATCAGTTGTCCCAAATTGAATAATTGTGCAAACATAGCCTCCCATGGCATGGTACTTATATGTATTCAAACTAAATGTCTTCACCTTGGTGCCTGTCTGTCCCATTGTGCCACGTTCTTTTTCGTGGCGAAGTTTTGCCGCCTTCTCCTTGGGTAGTTCGACTGTTGCAAACAACTTGCAAGTACTTGAGCAGAAACAATGTAATTCATGACCTAGGATTTTAACCGTGGCGGACAAAACTTCCAGACTTGAGTCCGTGTGCATTCTAAGCTGGCCAGCACATGCCACTGTCCGAACTGAAAGAGGATTTTGGCAACTAATTTATCATGTGGCAGGGGAAACAATCCTTCAAACGCTGGTATAGAACACTGAAACAGACATTTAAGGGTGATTGTGTCAATGCATGATGCATGAAGCTGAGTTGGTCTGACCTGTAATAAATTCTCAAATTTTTTGCTGCCATTTTTTTCATCTCAGATGCGTTTTTAGCGAAGCGCCTTATGACCCCTGGACCAAAGCTGGGGATGTGATGAAATCTCCATGTGCACTACAATTAAGCCAATTTTGTTGTGTGAAAATGATAGCCCACATACCTTCTATCCAACTCTGCAACACGGTCACCTGGAAGAGCATACAACAATCTTATAAGGTCTGAAAAGAGTGCCTTCCATGTCCCCAATTCACATTATTTGTGCATTAGATCCACAACAAACATCTGGTAAATGTCAACACCCATAGGCGTCAAATTTTCCGCAAATGCATTCTGCAATGCAAATTCAATTGAGTCTGGCCTGCATCAACCACAATCTCAATGCACCATTGTGGGTACCAGTGATTCCTCTTTGAGCAGACATTCCACCCCTTGCACGTTCACTGGTTTCCCCAATCTATATATAAAATCTCTTGCAGCGACAATTTTATACTGCAAAAAAGTCCTGACATTGGTCAAGCATTTACTCATGTCCCGTGCGGATCCAAGCTTATGAAACAGTGTTAGCGGGGTCAAACATTGGGGGCATGGACACCCTCCCACGTCCCGTATTGCTGCAATGAGCACTTTATTTGTCATGTTAGCGGCACATCAACACAATGTACCAGCGGACATTCTACTTCTCTGGATAGTCTGCGGAATACGTGAATAGTCAAGGATAGACTCTCTGCCAAATGTTGTCAAAACACTTGATGACAATACTGTGGAGATAGGCATGCATGAACTCCTCATCCAAAAGTAGTTGCTACACTGCGTGAACAAGCTCTCGGCGGCAATGAGTCTTAATTGTTGTTTTCGCCCTTTTGGACATGTCACATATGGTGTTAAGAAAATCATGGAAGCTATCTGGCAACTGTAGACCTTTCAAATTTATGAACTAACAGAACATGGAAATACCAGCCGAAGGTATGAAAGCCACTTGATGACATGCATGGCAATTGACTTGAGCACGAGTATATTTTGATATGTTGCCAAAGTAGAGGTAGACAGGCCAGGCCTTCGAGGTCCCAAAATCTGCTAGGTGGGTCTCGTCTGACCAGAACATGAGAGCGGCTATAACTCTTTCCAGTTTGCACCCCGCCTCGGCTTTCTGCTTTTGCAGATCCTCGTGAGCTTGAATCCAAGAATCAGATGTATATAATTCATTGTAAACCCTTTGCTCTTTCTCAGTGACAGGGTTCACCCAGAAGCACTTGAATGGCAACAAATGAAACTGAGATGCTGATGCCTTGCTAAACACCGCTTTAATTGCTTCGACCAAACAACAATAATATAAGCCACAAATGGTATATGGTTGACCATTTCCACTCCCGTCAGGTGCTCTTGTAGGCACTCCAACCACAACATCCGCTGCTTTCCAGTTATTGCTAAAACCACTGAGACCCTCAGGACCTGAAGAATCTAATAACCTGTTTTCCTTTTGAGTGCTGAAATTTTCAAGTTCCTGTGGCTTGAAGTCTTCAGCTAGAATAACTTCATGTACAAGGCAGTTGATTTCATGTATAGACTTGTGTTTGCTGCCAGAATACATCCACTGCATCAAGCGATAAACCGACATGTCCGCAAATGGCCAGGGTGGGCCATTTGCATGTTTTAACATGACAAGTTCCTCTAATGCAGGTGCCACAACATTCAAACTATTGATAAGGCTGGAGGGAGAAATCTGGCAATCTGGATCATACAATGGGCGGTATGGGTATTCACAAAGCAGGCCAAATGAGTTGACTATCGTGTGAACAGTGTCTTTTACATGTAATATCACCCGACAGATACTTGATGTTGCGCCTACTTCTGGAAGGGACATTGGTGGAAGGGGTGCTGGTGGTTCAGGCAAGTCATCACAATATTGTAGAGGGAGTCTTCTATTGCGAGATGGTCTGGCTGCATGAGGGATGAACAGTATATTCTCAGTTTATATGGCAAATTAGGCTGAGTTAGCATATAGATTTACCTAGCATCTTTTGATCAACTCCTATGACTGAGTGATTGGCATCTGATTAGAGTGCTGGCGAGTTATGGTGGGTATATTCACCCTTGATACAGCAACAATTCAAGTTTATTGGAAAGTATACAGAAATAGGGAATTAATCTGGCTCACCTGCCCCATCACTCACTCCGCTAAGACCTGACAACTGCTCGCATGATAAAATCTTCTCTACCTTGTGTTTAGAATAACAATCAAACTATAAAACTGGTTAATACACACCCTCATTTCTCCCACCCACACCTCAGACATATTGGCCCCACCAGAGTCATCTCCAGCACTCAACATTCGCAACTGGGATTTCATATTGAATAATTTTGCTGAGTCTCTTGTGTGCTCCTTATGTTTGGCCAATGCTTCAGATTGTCTTTTGCGATATGTACCACATGCATTCCTATGTTTGTTTAGCGAACAATGGTCTTGAAATCCTCGAAGGCATGAATTTCCGCAAGTAAGGTTGGCTACCATATAGAGGAGCAATAAAAAGAAGAGCACAATTTTGAGGACATGCAGATTTGACTGCCTGGAAATTGGTTCAGGAGTCATTGCCTTCAAAGGCTTGCCAACTCCCAGGCCAGCTCACTGGCAGGTTATAACTTGAAGTTTGGCTGACAGTCTGGCTTGGATTGCCACCATGACACTGCCAATTTTGCACCCATCAGTAATTGCCAGTTGCCAGTCAAGCTGCATCTTCCATCGCACCAACTTGAACTTGAAGGTCTACTCACACCGCACTTTCGATAAAAGTTTCACTTCCTGTTATTCTATCAAAACTGTGAGTAATGACTGAGTAATGCCTGAGTAATGCCCCTCATCAGTAATGTTAGAGTAACACGTCCAGTAACGCACTATTGAGTAATACCACCATTACCAGATAGAGCTCTCCCTCTCTCATATGTCACTTTTTTCTGCCCTTGTTCCATTGCAGCAATTGAAAGCTTCTTGGCGCATGGTCCAGGTTCAAGGTCTGTAATTATGAACCAATTGTGCAACTGACAGATTTACCATTTGCATCCTGATTGACCCATAGCTCCAGGTTCATGTGGTGATCCCAGTCAATCAACATCAAATCCCTCTACCAACACCTCAATTTATAATGCCCCCATCTTTCTTGCCCTTCCTTTGGACCAAGCTCCACGCACCAACCTTTCATTGGTTGTCTGTCACATTTGCCGGCCTCGTTCTGTTGCAGCATTGGCAGGCTTGTTTGCCCATGGTTCTATGTTCTTCAAGGCATGTTCCAGTTACGTGAAATTAGCCAGATACTTGTTACCTCACTGCACGGTCACATTTGCAGGCCTCATTGTGTTTGTTTGGCTTTATTTGGCTCCGTATTGTTGCCTGGTTTGTGCCACATGATCCCAGGCTTATATCCTGATTCGGTTATGGGAATAGCTTGCCATATACTTCTGTCATTTGACTATTATATGGTTGCGGATGAGTTGCGGAGGTTCTGCTGTCTGAACTGTCTGAACCTTTGATTACAAGTGGTAATCCAAGGATCTAATAGCTAGATAATAGCTCTCACTCTCACATGCTCTGTCCACGGGTGCAAAGTTGTAGCTGTACATGTAAACCCAGACTCAGAGCATCACAAACTGGAGTATGCTTTTTGACTGATAAACAGACAACTGAGACTTTTGTTTCTCTACTGTTTATTTCATTACAGTCTGTGTATTAGGAGTCATAGATAATAGCCCTTGCATGTTTGTTCCGCGGGTGTGGAGCAGTGGCTGCACATTTGAAGTCAGACTTGAAGCTTCAAAAAGCAGAGCACACTTTTTGACCTGTAGATACATGAATAAGATTTTTTTTGTTCTATTGTTTATTCTGTCAGAGTGCTTGTACTAGGAGTTGTAGATAATGGCCCTCGGATGCTTCTCCTCTCTTCCGCGGGTGGTGGCTGCACAAATAAACATTGGACTTGAAGCTTCAAAAACCGGAGCACACTTATTGACTAATAAACCTTGTTGAATGTGTCTGCGGGCGAGTACAGTTATTGGGAAACAACATGCTTAACTGGGCAACAACACCCATATTGGGCCACAACACTGAGAAATAGGCAATATTTTTCAGGAATAGACAACCCAATTGGGTGACAACATCCCTAATTGGGCAATAACAGCCTGTTTGGAAACCGAGTGGGATTCGAAGGATAAAAGAGCTAGCAATGAAATAAGTAGTTCATGGTAGAAATAGAAGGTTGCACTTGAGCGCAACCTATGATTAGGAAGTATGCTACAATTGTGTTCAGAGCTGAAGACGACTGAGAGAGAAGACATGGTCAAAAGAGAAGGTTGCGCTCGGGAAAGAATGTTGCGCTTGGGAATAATGCCTTTTAAGGCAGTTGCGCTCAAGCGCAATATGGTTGTTCACCCTGAACTACTGGAAGTAGATTATTAGGCGCTAAGATGTTGATGTGATCGGAGTAAGGGTGAGTTTGTTACAATACACAATTTTTGGACCTTTAATTTTCATTCTCCTCTTCAACTTTCTTTTGTAGTTTTCACACCCTATGCCATGTGGCACTTCCCATTACTGTTCAAACTCCACTTCCCACGCTGTGCTGCCTTTTCTATTTTTAGATACAAGTATTTCACGCAGTGGAGCTGGTCGCACGGGCTGTGCCCCATGACATCATCAGCCACTGCCTCCATCAACTATACAGTATACATGTACAAACAAACCTGTAGTAGTATATATACCCCAATAAATCAAGGAGACTCCTCAGCAAGTCCTCCTGTTGTTTACCCACAACTAACTTGGTCCTATCTTAAGGGTAACCACTCCCCTCACTACCTTTATAGCTTTGTCTGAGTTGTGCGCCAGAGTACCAAAACTTTGGTTGTTACAGTTCACAGCAAATAACAAGAAAAGGACTATGCAGACGGTGTTGAGACAACGATGATGGGGATGATAAGTGTGAGGCAACAATAAACTATAACAAAAACAAAACCTGTCTCCTACTGCACTTGCAGGGAGTAAGGGGTTCAATGAGCCTGGTTATCGACAGATGCTAGAGAATATAGCAAGTAGAGGATGTAGGAGTAGAACTCAGAGGTTTCTGATAAGAGGTAAAGCGGGTAATTCAAGTAATAGAAAACTAAAGAACTATACATGAGATGTGCAAGGTTTTTATAGCTATCCATCCGTCCCTCAGACCAGAAGGGGAATAAACAAAAAGTGGTCTAAGGAATAAATCGACCAATAATAAAAAGGAATACTATTGTATGACTTTGAATAATTAATCAGCAGGTGAAAGAGTTGTACTAATAATAGGTGTTGTCACGCATCTTCAGGAACCATATCCTCATGATGAGGTACGATCCTGACTAAAGTGTCTATTAGTATATCCAGGCACTGATGGGGCTTGGAGCTGGTTGGCAAGATACCTACTACCAGCCTTTACCCATTGTGCTGGCTAGCTGGGAGTGATACCCAGTCTCTGATCTGCGATATAATATGGTAACAATGATTGAGAAAGCCTGTGAGGGCTATGAGCAGTAGAATAGCAAATAATACCTCTAGCCCTAGAGCCAGAGGTGTAACGGGGAAAGTGTTTGAAAACCAAGACATAGAGAAAATAAAAATGGTCCTTACAATAAGGTGTGAGAATATTTGCGAGGAGTTTTTGGGCAGGTTTGAGGCAGGGCTAGTGAGAAAGTTGGAGTTAGAATTTACAGGAGCAGCCAGCAGATGTGCACAGACCAGTCGACACATAGTGTTGTTTTGTAGTTCTACATGTTAGTTTTGGTGATTCTGCACCTAGTTGTGCTATCTATTTTCCCTTCTTTCTAAATCACTTTCCTCTTTATTCTTTTTGCTCTATTGTTCAGTATTCACTGAGCATTCTATAATTTCGCCTTTGTGGCTGATTTGTTTACCTTTCTTTACAAAACTTCGGACTAGTATTGCAGAGTCCAGTATTCCTATTCTTTAGTTACTCATACTAGACTCTAGGTACTATACACATTCTGTACTCTCTGATAATATAGTTACTCATACTGGACTCTAGTTTTGTCCCTGTTAGCTCTCAGCAAGAGGCTAGACACTTCCCAGAAGTTCTCAATTGAACACTATATGGTAGTTCTATAGCACAGAGAGTATACAATTAAACTATGAACTGACAAGGAAAAAAAATGGTCCAAATTTGACAGTTTTTGAGTGAAATGTTGCGCTCGTCATTGTCAACAATGAGCATGCTTGTATAGGTAATGATAGAGACATTGAACACGGTGCAAGCAAAGCATGAGAAGGTATTACTTAAGTCTCAGTTAGGGTTAGGACCATATTGTCAACCTACAGTCTACTCTTGAGTGCTGCAGCTAGGATTGAGCCGCCTAATTAGTGAGGAGGTCACGCTACAGCCCATTTACTAATTAGTAAGGTTTTTGGTGTCACATAGGTGTAAGTCATACAGTCAAATTATAGTATTTTTGGATTACCTTGTCTGCGCCATTTTTTTTTGTTGTGCCCTAGAAATATTATATAATCAGCTGAATTACCAAAAAAGGACCGGAAATAGGAATCCTGGATTCCATCGATAGTGATGATATGTGGTCAACCACGAAGAAGGTTGGGAGAAGGGCAGACTGAGCCAAACTGAACCTGGTTTGCTTTCCAGTGAGAGAGGCTTTGTTCGGATATGTCAAGGATCTCGCAGATGTCGGAGGGTATGTACTGATGTTCGATGAGCCAGAGGGCTTGCTCTTTGATGTCTTTGCTGATAGCACAATACACCATGACAGTAAGTACAAAGATTGTTATAGATGGAATCCGGGATTCCTATTGCCTGTCCTTTTTTGGTAAATTAGCTGATTATATAATATTTCTAGGGCGCAACAAAAAAATATGGGGCAGGCGACACAGACCCGGCTGTTCAAACGCTCACGGTCTACCACTTTAGGATGTATACAGCATTTAGCCACATTGCATTCACAGCTGGCTGGAATTAATTCAGAGATATGGTTCCTAGAGACTATCTCATTGTATTTCAAAAAAATTACCACCACCAAAAATTGAACCAAAGGCCTTGTGGTCAGTCAATATTTTGAGTAGACAACTAAACCACTGAGCCACAAGATGAATAAAAATTACATTCAAGGTATTTAAATAAATGTATAAAAGTACCTGTATAGTGTGTACAAACTATACAAGTGGATTATTATGGTTTAGAGAAACTATACCTACTTGTTGGTTATGATATGGTTTTATACCACTATATTATTTTTTACCAATATGGTTTGAAGAAACTATATCTGAAATAGTATCTGACAACTATACAATAATATGATTTTAGGTGACTATATTGTGTGAAATGGTTTTTGTGCACTATTTTATTATTATGGTTTTGAGAAACCATATAAGTAGTATGGTGCTATAATACTGTTTGGATATGGTGTGGGGAAACTATATTGCTACACTTTTTCACAAAATTATTACAAGTCCATTAAAACTAGACAACTTTATAGGCTTATAGCATATAATTTTTAGACAATGTATATAGTGGTAATAGTACAGTGGTTAAATCTGGTTGTCTTGCTCTTACAATACCATGAGGCCTTAAGTTTAAATCCTGTGTTTGTATTTTTATATATTTTTATTTTAGTTTAGTTTTCTGCAACCATATTGATATAGTAATATATAACCATAACATTTGCAATGGTATATCAAAACCATACTGAAAAAACATGTATAGTGTTTATAAACCGTTTATCATAGTACAGTTTTATGCAACCATATTACCCAAATAGAATATATTCTATTTATTGAAGTATAGTCTTGTGAAACCATATAATCTAAATATGATATGGTTCTGATACACTGTCTACTAAAGTATGGTCCTATGAAACTATAGTATGTATTATAGTATAGTTTTAATATACTGTTTACTGAAGTATGGTCCCATATAACCATATTACTATACTACAGTACAGTTCTGACATACTGTTTCCTAAGGTATAGTCCTATATGATCATAGTAGTAATCTTACAGTATGGTTTTAATATACTATATACTAAAATATGGTCTTATACGACCATATTACTGTACTATGGTTTAGTTCTGATACACTGTTTACTAAGGTATGGTCTTGTATGACCATAGTAGTATGTTATAGTATGGTTTCACTATACTGTTTACTGAAGTACAGTCCCATACACCTATATTACTTTACTGTAGTATAGTTTTGATACTCTGTTTCCATGGTATAGTCTTGGAAAACCAAATTGTTACATTACAGTATAGTTCTAGTAAATTATTTATATAAGTACAGTTTTGTGCAACTATATCATTACTTTTGGATATAGTTTATATAGCCCATATCAGGTAGCATTCATATGGTGTGTATAAGCCAAAATATATAATTTGGTTTGTCTGAACCATATGAATTAATTCCAGTGGGCTGTGAACAATATCTGGCTTTAGTCTGTATACCATTTACAGTGTGGGAATGTGAGCGTTTGAACGGCATGCCATGTGTAGGCTATCCAAAAAAAATGGCGCAGACAAGGTTATTCCGAAAACGCTGTAATGCCTAAAGTCCATTTTGGAAGTGACGGTTGCCATATATAGGCATAAATACTACCCATAACTTGTACTGCTTATTTCTCATGATTGGAACCACCAATTTTCACGAAACAAAGCTCATTAGTCTTGTAGTATAGTACACTATCATATAGAAGCCTTCCCAGAACAAAAGAATATGGCATACAATTACCCAAAGTGGCTTCCATGGGTCCCTGACTTCCGAGCTGGAAGCTGAGCGCGAGGTCAATTTATTTTGAAGGGGCCGATGAACTTTATTACAATTTTTTATCATTGTTCATTTATTTCACGGGGTGTGACTATGATCAGAAATTGCTGAGTAAAGATTGAGAGTCAGGATCAATGTAGCAGCAAGAAATATTGTTATCGGTCATGTACACGCCACGTAATGGAATACAGTGTAAGCTACAAGTACAGGGCAACATGGACACCTAATCACGGGAAAATCTCCACCTCGTTAGCATCAATGGCACTCTCCATTGCCAAGCGCGCGGCTTCTGGTGGTCGGTAGAGCCCAACTACAAAAACTGTATAGAATATTGAAATCTCCGGTGTGCCTGTAGATGCGCGAGCTAGACCTAACGCCTCCTCTTTTCCTGCATTGTTGGTGATGTTTGAACCTCTGAGTTTGATCTTTTGCGTGTCAGGAATCTATCTAAGGGGCAAAGAATAACATTGCTCGCATCTTCGTGTGCATATGCATTGTGCACATTTAACAGATTCTTCGCAGTCTCCCTATGAACGCTTTCCAGGGTATCTTCAAATTTGATGGTCATAATTGATTCCTCCGCCGTCCAATAGCTTTCTTGCAGGTGAGACGCAAATTGGCGAAGAAATTTACTAATGGGCTTGCATGTCTTCGCGACCATCTTGCATTCATCCCTCCATGCCATGAGAATTGGGTGAAGAAAACCAGACGCGAGCTCTGGCCAAGAACACCGGGAAAGATTGCTTGAAGTGTGTTCCGCTGGTTACCCGGGTCAACAGTGGGATGGTTCTGGTCAGTATAATAAAAGATGACCCATAACAAGATCCACCACACAGATTCTATGTCATGCAACCCATTCATCCGAAAAGGAGGAGTGCTAAGAAGCTTTTCACCGTAGCCCCACGTTATAAACAGGTAACACTTAGCATCTACTTCCACCGCCATGAAATGGGGAGTGCCCTGCCAATTGGCAATCAGTGGGTGAAATCAAATTGAATGTTATCGTCGGATTAATCTCACTGTTCGCACGTCATGAGACTTATCAGAATAGATACATTTTGCATATTCGAAATCAGCGAGTTTGCCAGTGCACTGATTGTTGTTATTGGTGATCCATAATGCATTGCCAATGCTGACATCACGATGCACCCAGCCTACTTTATGCATGTAATATAGGGCTGATTCTGGCATAAGCAAACGAATGCAAGAGAGAAAAGAGGAAGGAGCCAACCTTTAAGCGTGTCTTTTAAACAACAAATGATATTTGCTAGGCTGGTCATATCCTTAAGGGTAACGCCCACATCCTCAAAGACGGTGCGAGAGTGAATTCTGCGTGGGATGGAACTATTATCATTTAGCGCAGGGACATGTAATATGGGCCTGGCGCTAAGTGGTATATGTCCGTCGCTGGGTGAATGCTGCTGTGAGGAGAGGTCCATGCTGCTATCAATGGTGAACCACTGAAAAGTGCAGCTGGCCCCACCCTCCATGGGGTCAAAGGTTGAATCGCAGATATCACCAATTGAAACATCTTCGTAGGCTAGAACTTTCAAGAAATATTTCTCCGCTTCTGCTGCTTCATTTGCAAACTCTTGCCAAATAGCCAGCAGAATCTGCTCTAATATGGCGCCCTCTGTATCACGGTCAAAATCTCTCCACGAGTCTTTTAAAGCAACCTTCTTTCCAGTATCGTTATCGCGTGCCTCATATACGCAAGTTCCACGGCCAACCATAGAGTCAGCGCCATAAGTCGCTATTGGCCGTGTCGTGGTAAACGTCATGAGCCGATCCTTGTGATGAAGAGAGAACCTGTAACGGGTTTCATCCTGGATCGAGATGCGCTCAATAGTGGGATCCCATCCAAGACCCACGTCAGTGATGGATCCAAATGAGTAAAAGAGGGAGATGACATTGTCGAAGTCCTAAGGGTTAACAACAGTGAGTGCCGAGACATACACCATAATACATCGACGCACACTGAGGAAGTCGATAGGCTCAGTAACCACAAGGAAAGCACGATTGCTCAACCACAGTCTCAGGTTCGTGTTCTCAATCGTGATACCATATGCAAAATGACGACACGGGTCCTCTCGCATTATGTTATGGAGGTTCCAGATTATCTTCTGTTCGTTCTAAGAAAAAAGTTGGAGAGTTGGCGTGGAAAAGGATACTTCTGACTTACATCCCTGATGTCCCCTGGATCTAGTCTCTTCTTGAACTCGGCGGGTACAGCAACGTCAAACCAGTGGACCTTGTCCTCTGCGGGCAGCTTGGCAGTTTTTGTTTTGATTAACTTAAGGTACCCATCGGGACGGGAGGTATTTTTTCGATCTGAGTTTGGCATGGTATATCCGTTGTTGTGATAGCGTACTAGATCACTCGAAGTTCCCCTCAAGATCCCATTGATGATATCACCCAGAGGACGAAATATGACTTCTTTGAACTTGTCAGACTTGGCGGGTTCAATGTCAAAGCCCTTCCATTGTTGAGCTGCTACTCTATCGATAACAACTCCATTTCGAATGATAATTCCGTCTTCCTCCAATTTTGCACGTACTCGAGCAACTTCTTCTTGAGGAACACTTGCTTTGAGACGATTGAATGGAAGTTTGGAGACCTTCCTCAAGTCACAGAGAACAGCGGTGCGAGACAAGTTAAGGTCTCCCGTACGGTAATCACTCTGCGTAGTATAGCGGGTGACGGGATCTGTGTCTGGCAAAATTGACAATGGCTTTGTGGGGGGTGTCTTGGGATCAACTGTGGTGGCGGACATTGGAGAGCTCAAAAGTGCTCGACTCTTCTGAAGGAGAGGAGGTCTTGTCGCACAAACCACCACTCTGTCAACGTTTCTCTCACGGTCATGTGCCCCTTTCATCGTAACCCACCTGAGTCACACCACTTATCTACCATATTAGTAACGTAGCTGTGAATGTTCCTGTATAAATGCTTTAGAGTCCATATGGGAATCATTTTCCGAGCGCTTTAGCGAGAAATTCTGTTTTTCAATTTTCATGCCAGCGTGCCACAACGCCACCCATTGGCACTCAGACCAATACCGCCATCTACCTCACCATGCCCCAGACCCATCTCATGAAGAGGAAGCTATCTTCACAGTCAACAATCCAGGACCTCCATCTTAAGCACAAACGACTTTGACGCTCACTGAAAATGCAGCCTATTCTCCCCCAATCTGGCCCTGAAGGAGCTTATATCAGCTTTGCAATCAATAATGCCCCTCCAGCAGCCGCAGATGCATCTGATACCTCGTCAAGCAGGGCTATGTGGCCAGACAAGGACCAGGCCCTGCCCATAGATTATATTATAAAGAACTGGAAAGAAGTATGCCCAGGCCAAACTTTCCAGAAAGACTTTTGGAACAAGGTAGTAGCATATTTAGCGCCGCACCACACAGTAGGTGCACCCAAAACAAGGAAGCATTGTAGTGAAAAATGGGGAAGGGTGAGTCCAATGCACAGTCTGAACACTTCCAAGGTAATGTGCCCATCATGATTTTTATCCCGTAGATCAAAACTACGTACAAAAGCCTTGAAGGACTGATCAACCACGGATCTGGTATGCATTATGACTCGTCAACGGGTCTCACAATCACAGCGGAAAGCGAGACCCAGTGGAATGATTCCGTTAAGGTATGCAGACTACATAGTGATCACCTGGGTGAGTCAACTTACACGGATGCTAGCAATATCCACTGGTAGCACCCTTTAAGACGAAGGGGTGGGCACTGTTTGACAGGCTCACACCATTACTGGCCGGTGCTGGCGCACAAGGTGCCCATGCTTTCCGTACACCTCAGGTAATAACAACGGGAGCAGCCATTTCTGTCACCTCGGCTCCTGCTTCAACCACCATCATTGCACATCTGTCAGGCAAATCTGCTGATTCAAATATTACTGCACATGTAGCACCCGGAACACCATTGAGTACTCCATCTGGTAGCACTGCGGGGCCTGCTATACTGTCCAATACACCTAATGTTGTCGGAGGCTGGCTTGGTGACCTCCCTTCACCCTCCTCCATTCTACCCCCTTCCTCCTCATCTGTACGGTCGGGCATGTCAGTTTCTTCGAAGGGGAGCAAGGGAAAGCGTAAAGACCGTCAGCCAGACACCGTTTTGGTCAGCATAAGCCCTGTTACTACAAGTACAGGCACTGGCCTGGACACCTCTAGCGCCATGTCCATCTCAAGCCAGGCATCCACAAATCCTCGCATCCTCGCCATAAATAGACTCTCTGGAGTACTCGACAACCATCTCACAAACATTGTCCCCGCCATCTTGGATATACGTGATGCTGTGAAGAAAGAGCAGCAAGTGCTTGACCACTGTCATGCACCAAAGTTGATTGGTAGCATGGACAGGTGTCAATAACGAAGCAAATATTCAAAAAGACTCGCCTTTGCGCCACACAGGCACAGTGCCACATGGAATAGTAATTAATATTGCCTTTTTCAAACTTGTGGCTGATCAGCACCACCTCTATTAGGCAATCCAGTCATGCTCACCTTTGCTTTTCCATTCAGTACTTTCGGCATTTCGGCATTTCGGCAAATTTTTGCATCGCCACTGGCTACACATTGCATTGTGCCCTCGCTTTTGTCGTTTCCCTTACTCCCCTTCCTTTGCCTAGCCCCACCATGGGCCCCTTCCTCTCCTTTTTATTCTCACCTGACGGTCGTTTCTGGATCCCCATTCTAATCCACTTTTTTGTCACCTCCACCCTCCTCCTCCTCATCTTATTTGCACCCCCACCATTTCTGATGTCACCACTTCCTATCCGCTTCCGTCGCCAATCCATTGACTACCACGTGCCACTGCTGATATCAGCAAAGCCCCAGCAGCCGGTCCAAATAGGGCAACAGGTCCATCTTCATGATATCGATCTGCCATCATATACTATCAAAACATCGGTCGCTCGTCTTGCCTGGTTAGAGCGTGGGTGGGTAGTTTTTGAGCTGGAGAAGGTTCATCCCCTTGTGTCACCCATGTTCATTGCTGTCCCATTCACTTGGGTACACTTATCTTTTGTCCATCGTCTTCGCTACAGCTACACCTACCACACGCTGCCTGGGACTCACTTGTTCCAAATTGGAACTACTCCTCTCCCTCCCTCGTTTGATCAGGTGGTCCAACACAACCAGTCCATTGGTAAGGCCATGGAACTGTCGGATTTGGACTAGGTGGTGGACTGGTGGCTCCAGTTTCTTTTTTTTTCAGCAGAACATTCATTTACAGTGCAATTATTTTTGATTTTTGAATCATTTTTATGGACACATATTTTTTAGAATGCCTGACTGACAATAAAGGAACTGTGTTGATACTGATAGTGTTTTGCCTTGCCCTTTTTTTACTGCATCTTCCCATGACATCATGATTTTCCTGCTCTCTTTTTGCTATTGGACTTTATTTTATGGCTGTACAAACCTGTGACATTACTTACACAGCATTCATTGTTCTATCCCTTTCTTTTCTTTATTTTGACAATTTTATCCTGTACTACCTATGCAGGATTCATCAGTGTACATTCCTTCCTTCATGTTCTTTCTCATTCTTTTTGCACAGCTATATTGTGCATAGCCTACCTTTCTTTTACTATATAAACCCCTGTACTTTACCTTGTAAAATAGCAACAAGAACTCCAATCCAGACTTCTTCTAAAATTTCAAGTTCACTACTGTGCTACTTGTGATCCAGTGTGGTCACAACACTTCCCACTGCTACCACTGTTAACTGCTGTCATTGTCATCCCTTTTGATTAGAGTCCTTTTTAGCACTACAGTTTGTGTGTCAGGAGCCTGCTATCACTGGGAACCTCGTTATCTCATCATTCTCAAACCTACCTTGTGCTACAATTAGCAAGGTAGTGCTTGTCTATTCTTGTCACAAAGCCCCTATCTTCTATAATTCAACTATCCCTCCTCCTCAAAACCCACACCCAGACATCTCTGGGTTTTACTTTGAAGGATTGTCATACATACCACCCCACGAACAACCAGAGCACCCACTGTTCTAGGAGGCAAAGCCCATAAACAAGTTCCGTGGAATCTGGGAGGATTGTGTGTTAGTTTGTTTCTGTGTGTGGTTTTCTAACAACAGTTCTCATCATTGACAAAGACTATGGGGATGTGGATATGGATAATAATTTCCCAGTTGCCTTGGGACCACAGGATACTAGGTTCTTTCCATTTGCATCAGAAACAGACTGGCGAGTCGCCTGTTGGGTGATCCAGGATGGAATAGGTCACAAATTATTTGACTGTTTGTTAGCTATTCCAGGGTGACAAAACCGGATAAACCTAGTCTCTGCTGAAGCAGCCATTGTTCTCCATGGAGCATAGCCATCACTCCATGGAGTAACCATTGTTCTCTTAGGAGCACAATTGTACTCCTAGGAGTCATTATACTGTAGCGAGTAGCACCTCCGACTATAAGTAGTAGGGGGTTTAGTATAGGAATACCTCAGTCGTTTCTATAGCTTCTCGGGCAGCGGCTGAGGTATGTTACATTACATTTATTAAAGATCACCTTAAACTAACATCTATTGTAGTTTCACTTAGATAAATAATAAAGTGGTTTCTATAGCCTCTCGGGCAGCTGCTGAGTTTCACTTAGTTTTATTATATACCACATCATTTTGTTTTGGTTCCGTCTTCACTTATATACGCTGTCGTTGTCAGGCAGACACCTCAGATCTTCTGTCAAAGTCTAAGGTAAGACACTTTTATGATTAAACCTATGAGTACTTAGCTTATGCCTCATTTCCAGTTTACTTACTAGGTACATTCTATATCAGATCTTCTGTTGAGTTTACTTACTAGATCAAACCCGAACAATTTCAGAACGGGATAAGAAGCTAACCAGTTTTGTGAACCAGGACATAAATTGCTATGAGCAACATCGTTCTAAATCGTCCTTGTGGGTGCAATATAAAATCGCATCCTTCTAAAACTGCCCCCAGCAACTGCTCTCGAAATACAAGAGTGATGTAATAGACAAGTCGAGGGAGACTCACAAATTTCAAAATGCAAAACAAGGGTGACAGAGGACAACGTGGCAACAATGATGACCTTCCGTGTTTTCCTCTGGTTTGTATCATGTAAAAAAAACCAAGCTGATGCACCAAAGCCATAACCAAATAAAAAGACCACAAGAAAATACAAACTCTTCTGCTCTATATTGCAGTTGTCCGAAGAACAAGTATTGCTAAAATACGGACAAATGTCAATGAATTTCGTTAAACCAGTTATGGGGTAAACTTCTGTGCCAACAACACCTGTAATGCCGAGCACTGTATGCGACTGTGAGCATAAACACTCCAGGCACAAGGTAACTCTAGACATGTATACCTTCAAAAGCATAAAATATCATCCTACATGCCTGTATAGTAGCATATAACGTGATCATGAGAAGAGGTAGTGGTTGGAAACTCACCGGGGACATGTTGAGGCCAAAATTATCTAGAGAAATGTTAGCTAGGTACATGAGTTTCACATAAACATTGACTACGCACAAACCATGTTCGCAATAATCACAACAAACATATAGTGCCGAGACAATAGGTACAGAAATTGAATAATATTCCAACGTAACTTGCATTTCCAAATTAGCTCGACTTAGGATAGCATTTTGGTAAACCAGACGTCAGACAGAGAAGTATAAAATCCTCACCTCCCATTCCAAAGTATTGATACAATCCAAGATCTATGGTATGGATATCTAGTGCAATTGACTTTCTGAAGATTGGTATGGTCCTTGATTTCAGGTTTCGCTTTAGCATTGATAGACGTACCATTAGCATATTAAACGGAATGAAATTGATGAATTGCCTTGTAAATCCATCTCTAAAAACAACCATGCTTACACGAACTAACTGGACTTGAAAAACCACAAAGGTCATGGAGGACATCATAAGGATGTTTGTGCCAGCCATTCCCAGGGAGAAAAAGTTTTCGGCAACACTTTCATTTAGGTTTAGTCTTTATAGGCTAGGCAACGAAAAGGATTGCTGCAAGATAGCCAGTTACAGTGGTGTTTCCCGTGCCCGGGTACCCATACAGCAACCATAGGAAGTACACTGTGTTTTTAATATATATCTAGTTACAACGAGAAACTCAGCTTTCGGGGAAAAGACTGAGACTATATTCGGATCCTACCTAGTTACAACGAGAAACTAGGTGTACAAGTAAGTAAAAGGTCTGTCAAGGTAGGTATATGCTCACCTCAGCTTTCGGGGAAAAGACTGAGGTGTGCTACGGTTGCTACGAAGATTTATAAAGGGAAAACAGAAGTAAACCTTAAGGTGAAATTGTCTCCATCAGAGCGCACGGGCCAGCTGATCTACAGCTCTTTCCTAGTTTGGCGCCCGCACCTTGTTCCTCTTCGTACAAGGCTTGTTCTCTCAAGCTTCTTGTGTCTTCTTCCTCCAACACGCTGAACCCCTCCAGCCAATGTATCTTGGGTCTGCAACACGGAGTAAACGAATGAAGACACTGGAAAAAGTAGGAGTACTGGGAAACATAAAAAAGCCGACCTACCTGATGATCCTGTAACCAGTGCCATATTCACAACCAGGAGTGTGAAGACTCGGAGACATGGTTTATTAGACATTCATGGTCATCTATGTGCAAAACTAAGACTGAGTAATTGAGGCTCTGTATTTAGCCCCTTGGTACATACCAGTGCTCCATATTATGCTGTAGACAATACACGTGCTGACATCGGGGTCAAATAGTCGCCACCGTTGATTGCGCGGGACAGTGCAGGAGAAGGGAGACTTGAAGGCGAGCAGGGTGTTTTCTTAATGATCCCGAGTGATGACCTCTCCGCAAACGTATTAGAGCCATGTTCACAGCCAGGTATGTGAAAAATTAAATTGACATGTTGAGAAAGATGATTGCAGAATGATGCGTGTGATCTCTACAGAAAAGTTTAACAGCAAATCAAGGTGCAGGATTGACAGCTACCATCATACACAAAGCTGATACTGAATAAGCGAGGCCTCACGTTCAGTCTTGTTGGCTATCTTGGGTCCTACTAAGTGCAGTAGGAAGCGGTACATAACCATTGACCCACACCGTGCTGTAGACAACACACGACACACTGACGTAGGGGTGGATCAATTACAAGCCTTGATGGTGCGGGACAGTGCAGAGGAAAGGAAAGGTGAGTAAGGCGTTAGTTGCCGAAACACGAGCGGTATCGTCAGCCTGGTAGCTTCTTGAATGAATAGACCAGACTCTTACGTTGAAACATGTATACTGAGATCGCTTTTCCAAGGTTTTTTTAGGATTACACACACTCCCACTTATCTCCCATGGTAAACCATATCTGTGGTGACGTGCTTGGCTTGCAGGACCATCCTTCCTGATGTAACTCGGACCACTTCCTCGCCTGAGTCGTCTGGCAAGTATCATAAAGAGCATTCGGTTCGGAACCTTTGCCATCAGAAGGGGAACCGAAAAGTATCCATTCCAACGATTATGGCTGAATTTCCGCAACCCTCATACAAAATTAACACAAGCATCGCGGACCTTCACTGATATTATATGAATGTTTGTTGATGAGTCTGCATCCGAGTAAAATTGACGTATTTTCACCTTTCCCTTCCACGCCCGCTCACCACTTTCATTAAGTTTGAAGCTATGACACGCGTGTCCAGTACTTCTCGTCTCGTAGGAGGCCTTCAACTTCTCTCCTTATGCGCCCTCCTCGTCGTGCCGACTGGTGCACTGCCCAATCCCCTCCCCTCGCCTACTATCACGCCAGCACCAGCAAGTCCAACACTCCCCACCATTCCCTACAACATAGGCCCACTCCGCCAATCTATCGTACCCATCCTCGGCATCGACCCATCCAGCGGTGACCTGGAGGTTGGCGGGATTGGAGGGCATGATTTGCCTGGTGTGATCTACGAGCATGGAAATGGGGACGCTGAGATCGGGAAGGGAGGACTGAGGCAGGTGTGTTTGACTCAGACGTGGGAGATTGCGGTGAGTGATTGATATTTTCTGGTGAAAATCGGTCAGGAAGATGATGATGAATTGCCGTGATGTTGTGACCAGTCTATTAGCTTGGCGTATGGCCTAGAAATTGGGAGTGGGTGTACGCCTAGTGCGGTACCTACGCTGTAGACAATGAAATGTTGGGTGGTAGGAGCGGAAGAAAAAGTGACTGGCTGGGTGATTGGAGGGTAACCCAAGAGGACAGAAAGATCTTACCAAAATGACGGTTAGGTATCTCGAAAACTCGTTCATTGCCATACTTATCTGTGAATTTACTAAGCCTTATAAACTAACGAGTAAACATGGGATCACCATGAGTCTTGTATCACAATGCATAACACATACAAGCCCTCTGAGAATCGGCACTGGCGGTGAGCTCAAATCTCTGTTTTATTCCTCCAGTGAAAGCCTGAACCTGTGTGAACGGTCTCCATATGAACCAAGGGCTACAAGTTCAGGGCGGCACCTGCGTTGGTATGCCACGATGCATTTTGAGTGGTCGACATATATTGCAGTGGTCGGACAAGAAATCGACTGTGTATTGCCGAATGTTTTACTGCACTGGTGGACACTGGATGTATGCATCGGAAATGTTGTCCAGTTGTTGTAACGAGAACTCGAGATGGCTGGACAAACCAAGTAGAATGTATAGTGGATTAGCATACCTATGATGTAGACCGTGATACATAAAGGCGATGGCAACACCAATAAAGTTGTGATGAGAAGATAGATAAGGTCGCTGTGGGTTTTTATTAACCATGAGTGAAAGTGGAAGATCGAATTTCTTCATTCTGAAAGAGAAATCCTATCGCCCATTGTCATTCGTCAGGTCTGGAACTTTGAAAGTTGCACAAACTCCAGTGACACATTTATCCAGGTTTGAAGCCGCGATAACATCGAGCGACTGATTCGAATGACATCTGAGAGTAATGTATGACTGTCCTCGTTCATATATGACAGAGGGTATGGATGCTGCGCCCTTGGATTCTACGTGGCGCGCCTAGCACAAGACGACCCCAGGATGCCGTGATCACCGCAAAAGAGAACATTGGCAAGTAATTTAACGAAGCAACGTTTCGAGGGTGCGATATGGATGGAGATCGCCGAGCACCACTTCGTCGTCGTCGTCGTCGTGCTTGTCATGGTCGCGGGGCAAGTGTCGAGTTGTTCTGATGGGCCGAATCGAGGCAATATAAGAGTGGTGCTCACGTGAGGCCTAGACCTGCGCCATAGCCAAATTCGCACTCCAAAGGGTCCGTCGTTATCGTTTCTGCTGCTGCGGACGGTCAGTGGACAGCATCAATCAACCTGTTCAAACCTCGCTGGAAAACAAAGTGGCGCTAGACATACGGAGAAGTCTGTTGCTACAAGCTGTACACTAGCAGTCTGTCAGTCTTCTTTCACGTCTCTCTCTCTGGCGCTGACACTGACTGTACAAAACCCATTTTCATATCTTTTTCTCTTTTAGTACCCGTGCAATCCCGTGCCTTGCCTCTCCTTTCCCTTCCGACTTTCATATCTCTCAGCTTGATTAGCATCCTTTTTATAACATCTCTCGCCGTCATTCCCTGCGACGGTGACAACGACACATATCACCCTGTCCTCACCACCCCGCATACCCATACCCACATATCACAATGCCCGCAATTTGGCAACGCCATCCCCGCTACTTCCTCATCATCGTCATCATCGTCTCTGCTACCTTCTTCCTCCTCAGCCCTTACCAATCCTCCCTCCAAACCGACCCCGCACTATATGCAGCTACCATTCGCGACGACAGCCTTCCCGCTCGTGTCGAGCGTGCTGAACGGGTTTATACAAGGATGACGGACGATCGTCGGGAGTTGATCAAGAAGCATGGTCCTACGCCTGCTGATATCCTCATGTGCGTCCTTCCCCAGGCTGATAATGTTACTCCTTTGGCGTACCTTCGACTCTCCCCAGGTTTCCCCCAGACAAAGATCCATGGCCCGCATACACCGTTTGTAAGTCCATCATCCCCTCTTTTTTTCTACCTACCGCACTCCTCTCCTTAACACTTCTTACATTCAACTTTAAAAGGGAGTTTTTTCCCCGCCTCTTTCCAATGCCCCCACGAGGTCGAACGCATCGGCTCTCTCGGTGACGGCGGAAAATGGACCTGTGGTCTCTCGCGGCTTGCCCAAAAGCCAGACTGCATCATTTATACTTTTGGCATGAACTATGAGACCTCTTTTGAAGCCGAGGTCCTCGCGCGCACGCGGCACTGCCAAGTCTGGGGGTACGACTACCGTTCCAACTCGTTCGGCGCACACATCAAAAATAATTATCGCGCCCATTTCTACAGCTTCGGATTGGCGAGCTTCGATGCACATGGTCCGGGAGATACGAACAAGTTGTATACGCTGAAGAGTCTTATGGAAGCTAATAGTGAAATTTTTGTCTTGTTTTATTTTTTTTTATCAACTGATTGTGTGATGTCTGTATTCTAGAGCACACGCAGATTGATGTCCTCAAAATCGATGTCGAAGGCTGGGAATTCGAGGTATTGACGCAGATCCTCGCGCCCTACATCGCATCCGGCGAGCCTCTCCCCTTTGGTCAGCTTCATCTTGAGATACACACTTGGGAGAAGAAGTTTGCTGATGTGCTCACATGGTGGGAGATGTTGGAGCGCGCAGGACTGAGGCCGTTCTCCACGGAGGTGGGTACTTGCTTTCCTAAAGGATTGTATTTTGGGGTCCTTTTAGAGGACGTTTTATTTTTTGGATAGCGGTCACTTTTTTTTTTCTTTTCTGGGGAGGTTGTTGGTGTCTTCTATTGGTCTCAAACTAATATCGTCTCCCAACAGCCCAACTTGGTATACCAGAACTATAATAAGGATAGAGACACAGACCTGGCAGAGGTATGTCCCTTTCCCACTTTTCCTTTTTGTTATCGCATTTTACTTACTTACTCTACCCACCCGCTCCTTCAAACTCGCAGTATTCCTTCCTCAACGTCAAAGGCTCTAATATCTTCATATCCGACCCGCCAATATTGTCTCTAGACTCGGATGTACTATAACATTAGTGTTAGTGTCATGTCGCGCGTAACCAGTACATATGGTGATATGGTGACTATTTGAGGGCGTGGCATGGCCTAACTTGGGGTAGCCTGAGGGCTGGTTGTAAACAGCAATGAGAATGTGGAGATGTGAGGTGGAATGGGCATCACGTATCTTAAGTTTGGGAGCCAGAGGCTGCATATAGTACACAAGATGCTGGGACCCATACCATCACACAGCAAAAAATCTTCATTTCTTCCGTCTTGTCCCCGTTCCTCCCTATCTATACACGTGTCTAGCTAGATTTTCTTCGTTACATGGGTATACTAAAACAGTATTATTGGGGATGATAGCAATGGTGACATACTGGTATTGAAGGAAGGTGTGATTATTTGTAATGAATGAATGAGTAGACTGAGGGGGGTCATCGATGCGCCCCTATCGACTACATGTATGTGCGTATACTTCGCGAAGAGTGCATACTTGATGCTGAATACACGGATTCCAACGTATCGACCTCCAGCAGCTAATGAGATAAACAGGTTCCAACAACAGCAAAAAATATATGTATACGTGCTTACTTGCGTACTTGACAGAAATAAATAACCTACTGCAGACCTCCGAGTCAAGGTCCAGTGTCGCCGACGTCATAATCTAAGCGGACTTTGAAATGTGAATATATTCGATGAATATAAGAAGTGCGATGTCTAACTTCCTTCATTTTCCCCCGCCTCATAACAAGCGCACTTCAGTCTTGCGATGGGGGTATCGGAGCATATTGAAATCTTGCGCTGGGGCTGTGGTAGATGGGAGGCTTCGACCTTCCATGCACGCTTCAAGGATTACTGCAGAGTTTATGGTTAGGATTCGCGCATTATCTCCCATGAATAGTGATGAGGGCACTCAGGTACGCTCATGTGTTTAACTCTCACAGATTCAAAGGCTGATTAGCTCTCTTCGTTGGCCTCATTCACATGTGTAGTTTAATCTGACTAGTATTTGCTCTCGATTGCCAGTCTTCCAAGTTTTCTTCGTGCATAAAGATCTATTATTCAGGGCTCATAACCTGTTGATCAGGTTATGGACCTTGAATAATCGTTTTTCAACGCATTAATCGCCTCTCTGTTGTAAAGAAGTGGTGAAAATTAAGGTGCGCTCATATGCCCAACCTCCCACAGATAGTTTATTTCATCAACATCTCCGTGGGTATCACTCATGTGTTAGTTGAGTAAAATCAATCGTCAGTGTCAGGATTTTCCCTGCATTTACGACACCGATTATACAGGGCTCATAACCTATGGTTGGGTTATGGACCTTGAATAACCGGTCTTGTGAAACATCGCGTTATGCTCATAGAAATTCACGATCACATTACGAGCATACTGGCTCGGCAATGGCTTATTGTGAAATTTAGGTATACGAAGGGAATAAACCTCCATGCTCCGTCACCTCTTTACAACCGAGGCAGCCAGATATTTGACAATGAGACACTGCAAGGCAGATATGCATAATCTTCACAAATATATATCGACTCATTTTAACCTTGTCATGATCTTCTTCCATGACAAGTGTTAGTCAACTAGCGTTTGCTCTCGATGGTTTCCAAAGTCTATTTGTCCATACAAACTGTAGATTTTTCCAATGCACATATCGTGTCGTGTTGATAGAAAATTATGATTATGATAACATTGCAACTACACATATTGGTGGCGACTTTTGGGTATAGGAAATGAATGTCAGTGTGATCATTTATTGTTTTATCTTGCTAGTGCAAGCTGTCCATTGCCATTTGTTATTTACAGGGATCGTCTGAAGTAGGAGGACACTTCTATTTGATGTCCCTACAAATACTTCATATATTATCTGAGGCTTAAAAAGATTCAGTGGTATGCATAATATCATCCTATCGTCCACAAGTCACAAAGGTTATGTTGCGTTAGTAGAATGCCTCCCACGTTTTTAGTGAGTCGATGATACAATATGAGAGAGCTCCCATACATACGGATCCCGATACAGTCTTGCTAATAAATATGCTAAATTCTTGTTGTAGACAAGGAAGACTGATCCGATCACACAGAATAGAACAGAGAATCCCCATGAAATACGGCATGATAGAACAAAATTTATGTATGAACGTTCGATTACAACATAAATAAAATCCTCACATTGGTACCACTCCATAACCACCACTTATTCTAAGCTAGGTATGTGTAGCACTGGAAGCCTAGAAAGTGTGGATGATGGAAACAAGCATAATGATAGCATTAAAGTTAAAACATTCGAACGAATCAAATAGGAGGAGATCTGCGCGAATAGAATATTGTTGGTAGCAGCTTGCTTCAAGAGTGACTGAAACGTACCATAACTCCGATAATAATACCTGACATCGTGATCATATACTGCTCCATAAATCACCAATCCCTCAACTTCGACGCTTTGGTAAGGAGGGAGTGCCTCCCATATACCCATAAGACGACGTTAAATTCGCAAATGCTTGTTCATAATCTTTAGGCTGTGGATTCGAGTGTGGCTGAGACGAAGGCGCTGGAGCTGCCGGGCTGGCAGTTTTGGGGCTGTTACTCTGGTCTTTCTGTTTACGCTTTTGTTTCTGTTTCTGACTCGATAACAAGGGCGTGGTAGATGACACAGTGTTTGTGGATTGCAAGGAAGTGGTGGAGGGATGTACGCCAGAGGAAACGTTGTTATTCATGGTATCAGGTGTGTTGTATGGGAGCTCTAGGGGATTGTGTTCAGAATGAGTCGAGAATGGATGATTATCCCGGATAGAGTCTGCGTACATGAAGTTGTTACCTTTATATACTCGGCAAATAAATTGAGAGCAACTAGTAGTCCGGAACGAACCAACTAATCAGTTGACGATGGCGATGATCCGCTGTAAGAGTACGACTGCGCTGCAGTAGGGTTCTAACTTACAAATAGGATTCCATATGACTCGACCCAATATCATGCCTAAGATTAGTTTTGATACTTATGTGTCTCTTTTCCTGAAGAGCCTGCAGTAAGAAAAATAGATCTGCTTGACATCGTATGATAGTAACTGTCATACGATCCATGGAAGGAAAGTATTTCACCACATACCATTGTCACAGCCCCGTTATTCTCTGTGAGGAGAAAAACAAGGGGTATTAAAACTCAGCGAAGTGAACATACGCGCTCACTTTCAACTCCAGCGGCGACGGATTCGGGGGAATCGAGTCATATTCTATTTTTTTTGTCTGACTCGAGCTGGATCACAAGGTAGAACGACCTTATCATGCTGCGCAGCGCTGAGGAGACTTGAAAGAAGATTGTAACTCCATTCCCGTGCCTCGATTTCACAGGATGGGCACTGGGTTTGATGGAGAAATGCAGCTGTGCAGGCGGAACCGCCTGCACAGAATCCGAGTCAGCCTTTTGAAGTGCTGGTACCTGCTGAAGTAAAAGAGCAATTTTGAGATATTATCTTGTGGTGAGGATACCAATACAATAGATCAAGTGTCATAGCAACTGGGTTTAACGGACTTTGGACTAGTGGTAGGCCATAGTTCTCGTGGATACGTGTTCAGTGGTTTGAAGTGCATATTTCGACTCAAAAGCCTACCACCCTGAGTGCTGGTAACCTGTATCATATATAAAACGACACTTAGAATACGAATTGGAGGTATGCATATAATTATAGTATTTGTAAAACACCGACAAGGCGACTCATTGAAGACCAAAAATGTATTAGGATTAATCATAGACAGGTAGAGCATCCTACGGTAACAGCCAAGAATGTATGGTAACTATTATGTTCTCTAGACAGCAAGTATGATATAAAAATCACTAAGGAGAAAACATCATAGAACATGGAAGCAGCGAAAGATAGACTTCTTGTAAATTTTTCAGTCAACAACCACTGTTTTTGACACTGTGAATCGATTAAGGTGCGAGGAATAGACAAGAATACGGCCAATGAGAAGTCGAAGAGGTCTGTACACGTTGAGTGACCTTATCCTCAGCAATAACAAGTAGCATGATGTCGAATATCTTGTCAATGATACTACCTGAATAAGGAGATTGGTTTAGGATTTCACTAGACACAGATGAGCTGCCGTGACACACCATTGTTGAGATATTTGATAAATTCCATTTTCGTCTATAAATCCGAGTCACAGCTTACGGGAAGCATTATTTGGGCCTCCACCAAAGCCATATGATGACGACAGCTGGGCAAATGCGCCCTCGTAGTTTTTGGAAGGCGATGAAGGGTCCGTCACGGGCAAGGGTTTTAATTGCGAAGGCGATGGTTTTGCCGACGATCTGCGCTGCAGCCACTTTGGCCACTTCTGTGCAGAAGTAAAGATTGGAGTTGGAGTATGACCATTTACACCGTAGGTTGACTGGAGCTGTTCGAAAGCAGACTGGAAGTCTTTTGGCGGTTGGGATGATGTAAGAGGCGCAGTTGATGAGAAGGTGGTTGTGGAGTGTAGTGATGTGGTAGATGAGTTCTGCATAGTGGTGGTGGTTCTGCGGTTATTAGTAGGTAGCCTGAGTTTGGTGAGTACGATTTATATATGTTTTCAAACTAGTACCTGACATCAGCTCATACACACACAGCCATCTTTGAAACTCACCCTGTGAATATGTTGGCATCGTTAAGGAGCCATCAAGTGTGGCTGTATTTGCGGAGGCAATGCGCATAGTTGTCTGAATGACTCGAGAGCCGACCATACATAGAAACTGTGCTGCGACTTTGATGGTGATGATATCATGTCTTGGAATTGCAAGTTAATCAGAACTTCACACTGTGAAACAGGACCAAAGTATGATGTGTTGCTGGGGTTGTGTTTTTGAAAGTGTAGAAAATACCAAAAAATACAATAGGAACTCTCCCTCGTAGCACTGCTCTGTTTCCTTGTTGCAAAAGCGATACGACCGTCACGGGGATCGCATCGATCATGATGCAACGATATTCTTGGTCGTGGAGATTGGTCACGCACATTTTTCAAAGTCAGCGAATGGACCGTCTGACTCAACTCGAGCATCCGAGTCTATCTCTTCATTTGCCTATGCCAGTAGGCAAAAATACCTTCTTCATTCCCTATAGGGAGGTCGAGCGATTGTGATCAAACCACTTGGAAGATAGTTCGGTTTCATCCAGCACCAAGCGTAGCCAGTCCCAGCTTCGAGAAAATACTCTTCATGAATGATTTATGATTCGGTCCTTCTGGAATTGAGACAACCCATGTCGAGCCATAACAGTTTTCAATTGCACTTTGTGGTATTGCACAACACGTTATTATTGTATCGAGGTAGTCCAAGTTCAATTCTTCAAACCATTATGCCTTCGATGGACCCTAATTATTGGGAATTTTCAGCTCTTGTTGCTAGATTGCAAGCATGGTTGGTGGCTAACCTTGCATCCATACCATATCAATTCCGGTGGATTGGGTCATATTTTTATTTTGTGGTCACATAATGTCGTCATTGATCTCGGTTTCTGAGTGGCTATTGAACTGAGCAAAGTCTTCACGAATTGCTATGCTACTCTTGGCTCTGGCTTATGGGCTGGTGCTTATCATGAACGAGGTTGCCTTCGGATGGTTTCCATGTGGCTATAACTTGTAGCCTGACATATAGCTGTGCACAATGTTCGGCTTTATATCTTGTACCCTGATAGTGGTAAACAACGGGTTAACCTGAGATAGATGCTTGCTTCTCGACACAGTTTTGGTGCTAGGAATAGCATTATCTGGAGTAGCGTTGAGATAGCGAGAACGGATCCGGATCAGCTGCGTATGGGCCTTCACCTCGTGACATGTTTTCCTTCTTGTTATGGAGTTTTGATTTGTTTCTATACCATTAGTTGCAAGTGTAATCGTGGGTCACACCATCTTCGTCTCTTTAGAATGGTATATTCGAGTGGTAGAAGGAAAGGTTTGACGATGCGCATGTGCCATGGTAATTTTCGAATAACAAATGTAGCCGTCCACCATTGAGCGAGAGAATTTTCGAAGGCGCCCGGAGCATGGCGCCCCCATCCAGGGTCATCTCCAGACAAGATACACTTTGCTCCGTCGGGACCGTATTGACCGCATAGTCCATCGTAAAAGATGTACTGGTCAGGAAGAAAATGCGTTTGAGACGCTACTACGGTCGACGTACGCCCTTGCTGTGTGCCATGTTGCCTATCCCGCCTAGAGAATCCAGGAAAACAAGGGGAATCTTGTACCAAATGGAGAGTCTTATCTTGCATGGCAACGTGACAACGATTCAAGCCCTTTTAATAACTTGATGTTGCAGACGCGATTGGTTGTGTTTAAAGTCATGGGGTGGTGGTAGGTGCCTACAGTGTTCGGTGTGTCGTCTGGATTACGGTTCCGCCTTTTGATAACCAGTTAATTTCCGTAGGTATATAAAGCGGACGCTGTATGGAAAACAAGATGGAAGTATGAAAAGAGGAGAAGGGGATTCCAGTTCAACTGATTCAACTCCGACTAGTATTTGATGTAGTTTGTGTCGCGTCGGCGTCAGGTGACTTTGATATTTCCTGGATGCGATGTGACGAAACGAGACCTCTGATCAAGGTTCACATTTTCGATACGTCCAAAGCACTGGGGATGGGCTCGACGTTAGAACCCCCGTATTACGTGTTAGTCTCCCAATCATCACTTCACAGCAGCAGCCCAGGGCCAGTTTCAAGCACTCTAGGCCATCCAGTCGTCGAATACCACTATACCGACGACTCACCACTCTTTCTACTACCGCAGTCTTCCGACGAACATGTTATAATCCTTAACCACGATACTACCCCAGACACCACACCGACAGTCAGAAGCATATCTCAGAGCTTCGCTGTTGGGAATTTCAAGGTTTCTGATGCACCTGGAGCTGGTGCTGATACGGAGGAATCAAGTGGAAATGACAAGATGTATGTTTTGGATGTGATTAGTACTAGTGATCAGAAGTGAGTGCTTTTGTTTGGGAGCTAGGTGGTATCTAGGTTGAAGCTTTGTATTCAGGAACATGCTCGAGTCTTCAAATGGTAGCTTGCAGAACCCACAGGCCGCTCTTGCTAAGTTCAAGCAGAGGTACGTCAAGGAATACATGACCTTCTCTCGTTTCATCTTGAATATTTTTCCAGAAATACGGTGTTGCGTCGTGTTCTCAATGAACACAATATTTGACATTTGATCATTGAGCGGGTATCATTTTGTCCAGCTGTATTCTATAGTACCTGCATGTTATATTGTACTTAATCATGAGAAAGCACATCGTCATCTTCTCTTATTGGCTTTGCTGCGATTTCGGGGCTGAGGAGATGTACCCGCCTGTAGTCGAGCCACTGAAGAACTCTTTGGTTCTTCGTCAGAATTAAGAAGCATAGACAACCTATGCGATGAAATATATGAACATAGAAATTTCTTGAGCAATTCGATGGCTTGCTTACTCCGATTTCTTGTGACCATTCTGCCCAGAGTTAGAATTGCCGTTGAGACTCGCATGACGATCCTTAACCTCTTCAAGCATCTGGGGATCCAAGGTTTTCTGCAAGAAACGACCATGTATTAAATGAAAGTATCGTGCACGAGAGAGAGCAACGTACTAAGAGATATGGCATGCCGAGCATCATAACTCCTGTGAGCACCGCAATCAGCATCATAGGGTTCTGGAACATTCCCATCAGGTTGAAAGACTCGTGTGGGACGAAATATTTGTATTTGTGTCGTGCCATGAAAGTAACAGGATAGGGAAGCGTTACGGATGATTGTGAAACCAAAGGAGTGCCCAGGACGTACGACCAGACTTTCGGCGGCGAATCTAAGTCGGAAACCTCTAGACGCAACTTGTAGTGTAAAGAATATGGGTCAACAACCAAAAAAAAAATTATGACGAGTTACGCACTTGGTCGAATATATAATCATGAGAGGATACAGATAGCACGTATGTTCCTGGTACGACGTCCCGCCTGGCGAAAGTTTAGTTTCCGGTATGGTGGAATGAGTGTAAAACACACATCAGAAATGTCCCATTCTGCGTGACAGTAGCAGATAGCCTACCGGCGTCCAGAAGTACTTTGGAAGCACCAAGTGCGCCGAAATCTGAAGATGGGTAAGCCTTTCAACAGTTCAAAATCCAACTGTGGTTTCAAGAGCACTACGTACTGGGACACAAGTCATTCCACTGTATTCTTCCATGTACGTCTAGCGCAGAAACCACACTGCAATATGATTGGCGTGAACAATATGCGGTTGTAATGTTTGGATATACCTTGTTATTGCCAGTAGGAGACAGACTAGTAACGTTGCAGTGCGAGCCATGGCGAACTCTTTTATATTGCTGTCGAACCGTTGAGAAGACTGCCTTGTACTTCTCAAATTAATTCGCAAAAAGAAAGGGCAGAAAGTCAAAAGTGCTGAGGGGGTGTCGATACTGTTTTTTCAGATGTCGACTCAGAGCTGACGCTGTGCCTACAAAACTGGCCACGTGTCGCGGCGTTACAGTCAGGTGCTTGTTAGCAGAACAATTTTATTGTATCAATGTTTCGATGAGTCCACTCGGACGTCTGCCCTTTATCGAGGCAATAGTCTTCCAAAGAAGAACTTGAACACAGGTATGAGTCGCTCAGACTACTCTTGAAATCGAAGCTTGAAACCCAGTGAATGGTTTTTACTGATTATAACTTCCGGAAGATTGCTTTCATGCGCCGCTGGCAGTACTCACCTATCCCGGGCCCACATCGTCGTGTGGATAATATCTCTTGCGTCAAAAATATCTCAAAAAACACCATAGTACACCAATACATCTTCCAGCATGTAATCTGGTATATAATTTTGTCTGGATGCTATGGCTTGGAAACGATTCCATTTGGTTTGTTGTGTCATGGATTTAATGTTGACAGTAGGTCAACTAGTCTTGAAATCTATAATGAACATTGCGTTCTTGAGCTTGGGGGCCCTCTTCCGTCGCGGGGCAGTTGCTTTTTTCGGCACTCCTGATGGAGCCTTCTTCTTTCGATGCATGGTGTCTGGCACTGGAAGAGGAGTAGGAGCAGCTGGCACTGGAGGAGGAGGATGAGAAGCTGGCACTGAAGGAGGAGACAGCGGTTGTGTGTCTTGATGTGGCTGAGATGGTGGAAGATGTCTTTTCAGATTTGGGCGATTCGCTTCACCCAGGAGCCCCACAAAGTTATCAGTAAAGGGTGGGGGCCGATTGCCTGTTTTCTGCACGGATTTGTTGCCGTCTGATGATGCAACTGGTTGTTCTGATTGAATCAATTTGTTTGCTTTAGTGGGAGATGGTGAAGGTGGGATCAGATTTGACCTTGCATGCTCAGTTTTTGTAAATGGATTATTAGTGTGTAGAAAAAGCGATCAAACATCGGTTCCAAATTGGGCCAATGTTGTTTGTGCCTGGAAGGCCTGAAATTGGATTTCATTAACATGAGATCGCAACAGTGTTCCGCCACGTCATGAAAACACACCGTGTGGGTGCAATGGAATTGGCGGATTACTATCGCATGACAATGCGCAAAAAGAATCACGTGACTTCCCCTCACATCACCAATAATGACACAGTGAGCATGCACCGAAATCACTCGGTGTGACATACCAAAAGCACAGCGCTGAATGGAAGCCTACTATGGCTATGCTCCGGACCATAATTGGGAGTGAAAAGGTAAACAATGGGTCTAATATTGCGTAACTATTTCTTTATGGAATGAGCCAAACCATCTCGTTCTATAATATGGCTGTAACATCATAATCACAATAAGCCTATTCTTTGACTGTTGCAGATAATTTTGGCTGTCCCAGAGCTGCCACTTATCTTTCCCTTTGTGTGACAGGGAAATGCAATCCCACAAAGACTAGCAATGAAGAGTAGATAAAGACCAAACAAGTATATTTTTACCTTTTGATTCTTTGCTCAGTCTTGGAGCACACCGGTGAAAGTTTTCCATTTGCATCTCTGGTGTTAGACTGTCGCAACTTGCTATTTTGGCAATTGCTCGTAGTGTGATACACTCTTGATGGAAGGTGTGTAAGGAGAAGGGAGATGGTAGGGCATAAGAACGGTAAGTGGAAGAGGAAGAGAGACAATGAGCAGGCGAAGAAGCAAAAACGAGACCACCACGCACGCACATGGTGCAAATGCACCAGCACCCATCCACTCCCAGCAACCAGCTCCCCAAGGTTGGCGACACCAACAAGTTTCCAATCTCATCCACTTCCCCACATCCCACCACCACACCACCTTTGACCACCACCACGGCCTCCCTCGACACCACCACCACCCGCGCAAACACCACAAGTGCGGACAACCAACGCAAGGAGGAGGAGGAGAAGGAGGAGTAGGAAAAAAAGGAGAGGGGAAAGAGAAGAGAGGGAGTAGATGACAGAGAGAGGAAATAGCAACAAAAATGCTACCCCCACCTTGACCCCTTCCCCAGCCCCTCCCTCCACCACATTGTCTCAATGACAACACCGCAACCCACACACGCCACCCACATACTAGTGCCTTTTGAGGAATGTATTTAATTTTGTAAACTAGTGCCTGTGTTAGGAATTTATTTGCTTTTGTTGTGCCTATTGTGAACCACCAGATGAGGGGTTATGAAACAAATAATGAGTGTCAAAGCTCAGACTCAGACTGAGATCTCACAGAGACTCGGACCTCAAACTTTGGCTAAGATCTCATTCTCACCCAGGCTGTTACGATAACACAATTTCCGGACATCTCCTGACCTTTTTATTCTCCGCTTTAACTTTATACTTTAAGTGCCACGCGGCATTTCCCTTTCTCGCGCCGCGTTGCCTTTCTTTTACTTTTAGACTTAACTCTCTCACGCAGTGGAGCTGGCCATACGGGCTAGACCCTATGACATCATCAGCCACTGCCTTCATCAACTGTATAGTACACATGTACAAACAAACCTGTAGTAGTATATATACCCCAATAGATCCAGGAGACTCCTTAGCGAGTCCTCCTGTTGTATACCAACAAACTCTCTGCAGCTTAAGGGGTAACCACTCCCTCAACATCTTCCTTATAGTGTGTTCTTGTGTGCGCCAGAGTAACTAACTCTTGGTTGTTACATTAGGACTCGCTCTTCTACTCTCTCGCACGTGTGTGCAGAAGTCCCATCATTTGGGCACCCGGACTCCAGGGTGAAGGAGATTGGTTAGCGGTTAGGAATATCCCACATAGCAGATAGGTGCGCTCCTAGCGACGGCCTTGTAGTGCTTTAGGGAGAAGAACCCAAAACCTGTGATACGCGGCCCCCAGCGTTAAGGGGAGTACTTAGCTCAGCAGCTGGTGTGGAACCACTGTTGATTAGATTTAGAATACAAACTTTCACTTTCGAATACCTCTGACCAGGCCGGGCACTTGCCTCCGCCAGTCTGGAGAAGGGTTGACAGCTTAACAAGCGGACCACCCCCTGACAACCGTTCGGACCAGGGTTTATTACGTTTACATTTTATATACATTTTCAAATACTATAGTGTGGGTAGTCGGAGATTGAGATCCGATACTCAGCTGGGAAGAGGTTGATCCGCAGATAGCAAGCGGGGACCCCCAGTTACCTATTTTTACGTTACCAAAAGAGAACAAGTCGACATGTCGTCGCAACCCCAAGACATGAATGCGCTACTGCACGCAATGCGTACGCAGATAGCTGCATTAACCTCGCAGCTCGCCGAGATACAGGCCAACCCCCCTGTAGCAACCCCCTCGGTAGAGAAAAAGTTTAACAAAAAAGTCGAAGTCGTCGCTGACCCCGGCGCCTTCGAAGGAGACCAAGCACAATTTGCCGAATGGTGGATCAAGCTCCAGATTTGGGTCAAGGCGAACTGGGACGCTTTCGCCGACGATTTTGAGGTAGCCACTGCGGTGCTATCTCGCCTAAAAGGACCTGTGGCGGGTCGATACGCCCAAGTAAGACTCCAGGAATGCTACACCGCGGGTGTGTGGCCTACCTGGGATGATCTCAAGAAAGAGATCGAAAAATACTTCAAACCGCAAGCTGAGCGTGACTGGGCTCGGCAGCAAATCCGTTCGTTCAAACAGGGAAACCTGAGGACGGACGATTACGTCACCCGGTTCCTGGCCCTCTCCATCCAAGGAGGGTTAGGTAACGAACACGCAGTAGAACTGCTGGAGCGCAATGTGAACCCTCGCATTGCAGAGCAGATCTACCTGCAGGATACGAGAAGTGACGACCTGGCTCTGGCAGCCGAGGAAGTCCGACGAGTTGGTAGGGACATGGAGCTCTACGCTATGCACCAAGGTGGCGGGTCCACCAAACAAACCACCACACCCCAGAGGCGCCCTGGGTCATCAAACCAATATCATAATCACTCTCACGGGTTCAAGCCGTTCGGGCTGCAGCCAGGACAGGGTGCTCCTATGGATATCGGCGCGGTCCAAGGTGGACAAATGCGCAGATTCAAGGGCAACTGTTACAACTGCGGCCAAGAGGGACACATGTCCCGAGACTGTAGAAATGGGGCGCAGGCTGCCCAACAAAAAAATAAAGGGCGCCAGGTGCACCAATTAGAAAACGAAAAACCGGATGATCGGCTCAACTCTTTGGCCGGTCGTTCTTACGACGAAATCCGGGCCTTCTTCTATGACCAACAGGTCAACGAAATGAAGGCTCAGGGAAAAGAATTTGGGGCTTAGGTCACTTGGGTACCTTAGCTCCTGGCAAAAATGAAGTAAACCACAACAAAGTGGCCCCTGCTCCGGGGTGTTGCAGGAGCAATAACGGAATAACGGGGATGGCTCCCCAATTTGTAAATAAGTTTTTAAATTTGTTATCAGAAGTATGTACTTGTATAAAGAAATGTAACTGTAATATTTATGATACTACCGCTGCACCAGCGTCTCCCTTGGAGCGTGGCCCCGGCGAGACAAACACTAGGGTGCTTGATTCTGGTAAAACAAAAATAGAAAAACATGTGTCATTCAAAATCTCTTCTTCTTCTTCTTCTTCTTCTCCTTCTTCTTCTTCAGAGCCACCCTTTCCCGAAATCCCAAGGCGTGTGTTGATGCGCACATATTTATTCCAAAAGGAGATTCGTTTAGACGTTGGCGTGGAAAACCTTGCCAGGGGCAAAGTACACTCAACGAGCGCACTGCTTGATTCAGGCGCTAACGGGATCTTCATAGATCAGGTCTGGGCGGAGCAAATTGGACTCCCCCTTGTGAAATTAGAAACATCTATTCCCGTCTATAACGTTGACGGTACGCTTAACGCAGGTGGCTGTATTACACACAAATGTTCTTTTGTGGTCGAATACCAAGGACACAGAGAACGAGTCACTGCCGAGGCTACCCAACTAGGGAAGATTAATTTAATCTTAGGCTGGACCTGGCTATTTAAACACAATCCTGAGATCAACTGGCAGACAGGGGTTGTCACATTGTCACGTTGTCCCCAGGAATGTGTAAACTTGGGTAAACCA